GATCCCCACTACACTACTGGGACGTCGAACGGCAAGCGTTTTCCCGCGCGATCAGGAAGACGCAGACCTTTATATCCCAATTTTCTGTCAAAGAACAGTAGATGTGTCGCTCACCTTGAAAAAATAACTACGAACGAAGACAATGGCGACTAGGAGTTCCCTCACTCAGCTCTTGACAGTCTAACGCCTGCGAGTGTGCTCCAAGTGAGCGCTGACGATAGTACTAAACACGAGCTGTCGCCGACAACTTGTTGGAGCTCTTCCTTTGCAAGATGATCAGAATTTACGTGAGTCTACCTTAAACCAGCTCAAAATATCCCGCTCAGTCGTATGCCATTGACAATGATGGACATAAGAGATCGTACTCGTTGTGTCTTCGAGGAATGTGTCGGTCACCCGAGCAGAATCATGAAGCAGCGGTGAAATGCTGGCCATTCATGATGTCCGCGAAAAATTCAGAGCAACTCGCAGGTAGTGCCGATTCGACATGGCAACTTACATTTGCAAGCATGAACGCAGCGCTGTATTAGATGTTATGCTACAGCTGACTCGAAGCAAAAATAAAAAAAACTCAGTTTTTTTGTTGAGCTGCTTTGTTTCAGTGAAAACAGGAGTGGCAAGAAAAGTGCAACAAAGCGATTTATTTTCATTAAGCGGATAATGCCGAATAGAGTGCTTTTCTAAATAGTATACCTAGACCAAATTGTGTACCGTTTTGGCGGTACTCAAATAATAGTGTACCGTACCAAATATAATACCATCACCACCAGCCACCAATGACCAGAACAAACAGTTTTCTTGGTCGGCTCTCTTTATTCTAAGTTTTACCAGTCCCTACAAGCCTTCAGCAGCCAAACTACTCCCAGTGAAGATGCCGTCGTCACGCACGACCAAGTCAATGGCCGAGAAGAAAGAGGTCGCTCAGTGGATCGAGAAAAACGGCGGTGTGCCCACCCCAGCCGCTGTTTACTTCAAGAACGAGCGCGGCTGGAAGGTTTCCGAAGCTCAGGTGCGCTACTGGTGGAAGAAGCGCACCGCTATCAAGGCCGCGCCGGCGCTACGCAGCCGCCTGACTGGGGCGGGCGCTAAGCCACGGCTCTCCGAGCTCGATGATATCCTGTTCGATCAAGTGCTGTTTCGCCGGTCTGCAATAGAGAAAGTCTCTTGTGATTGGATTCGCGACGCTGGGCAGTGGCTTGCCGCATCTGAGCTGGGCGATACAGATTTCGTTGCGTCGGACCGCTGCGTCAACGGCTTCATGCGTCAGCATGGGCTGTCGCTGCGCCGCACCACGAATCTTACCGTGCAAACCGATGACGTGTTGACCGACCGAGCGGTAAGCTTTCTAAGCTATCTCACGTCACGCATTGATGGGCTTAGCGACGATCACACCATCCTGATGGACGAGACGGCAGTCTACTTCGAGGACCCGCGCCGCCAGACGGTGGGCCAAGCTGGAGCTCGCCACGTCGTGCTAAAGTCTATGGGATTTGCTTCAATGCGGGTGACGGCTATGCTGGCCGTCACGGCAACCGGCCGCAAGCTGCTCCCGCTGGTTGTTTGGAAAAAGGCTAAGCAGGATGGCAAGATTGAGCGCTACGGTAACGTCCACGTCGTAAACCAACCCAAGGCATGGGTTGACTTGGCGCTTCTCACTCGTTGGCTGGATCTGGTCTTTCCGCCCATTTTGACACGTACACGCAGGGAAAAGTGCCGGTCTGGGACAGCATGCGTGCTCACGTCTCTAAGATGGTGAAAGCTCGGTGCGCCACGAAAGGGGTGCAGATGTTCGTCATCCCAGGGGGACTGACACCCTACGTGCAAGCGGGAGATATCGGGATCTACAAGTCGTTCAAGGACAAACTGTCGCCCATCATTGACAGCTGGAAGAAGTCTGATGCTGTGCTCTACACTCGCGGAGGAAATCCAAAGCCACCATCGGTTGAGACCGTGGCGAACTGGGTGAACGTCGCTTGGCGCGATGTTCCAACTGATGTCGTTGAGCGCTCGGTGGCAGCAGCTGGGTTTTCTCCAAGATTTGGAGATTGGCATGTGGCGCGACACGACGTTTACGGCGAGCTCTTTTGCTCAAAGTGGAAGGAGCGCATTATAGAAAATTCTGATGACGTGAGCGACAGCGGAGGTGCCCTCAGTGAGGACTGTTTCGATGAGTTTGCGATTTGGGACAGCGAAGAGTCTGTGTAGGACTAGAATTAGTGTACCGGTCCAATTTGAGCTCCTTTTGGTAGCTGAAGGTATGATACCGGAATTGTGTACCGTTCACAAATTGGCATTATCCGTAAATAAAATAAATCGCTTTGTTGCTTTTTCTTGTAATTATTTTCATTTCAGAATTTCAAGGAATAATTTAATAAGAGGGACTATGTTGCTTGTTGTCAGTTACTGATCACTAACGAACACTTCGTGAAATTCTACAAGAAAGGCCAATATGTGTGAGTAGCGTTCATGTAGACGACAAAACACGAGGAGGAAGGACGAACGAATTGTGACTATAATTTCGAGGGCAACCAAGACAAGTGCGATCTCCTAGCTGGGCCGATCTTCCAAAGTCAAGAAGAGACCAAAGGACGTTCAGACACTTCATTTCCGCTCTTACTCAGCCGATCGGAAGCATCTCAAACGCGACAGGGCCAGTGTAAGGCAAAGCCCAGCGAATGACGGATACGGAGTCACGACCTAGTCATGTAAAACTCCGATACCGAGCGTTGGCCTATGTCCGTCGAATTGGACGACAACGTCGACCGGTTAGAGCAGCAACCCCTCGCAGCTTTGCTGGCACGGGTGAAGAGCGCAGTATCAAAAACCTCAGCGGGCGACGTTCGATTGCTCAAATTAGTAGCAAACGAGGTTTCGCAGACACTGGCGGGCTTTTAAGTGGCAGTCGCAAGAGCTCTACAGAATCCGGATCAAAATCTCAACTGAATTGCCTCAATTCCAACGGTCGGGATTCCACATGGAGAGAAAATAAGGTCAATACACGAAGCCGGAGAGGTAGCAGCAAAGCACGAAGGGGGCCCAACACACCTCAAGCGAATGCTGGCAAACGTCGTCACCAGTTCCTAATGTCACATCAGAACCACGACGGACTAAGATTTGGTCTATTCTGTGGATGCAGCATCGAGCACGATGCAATCGACCCCAACGCCACGACTCGCAATGAGAAACACTATATTGATACACGTTCGGGAGGTGCCCAAGCTACCGGTTTTGATAGTGGATTCGGCTTTACGTGTACCAGCCCAGTAGCCTGCCCGCCACCTCTCGGCCTTGAACTCACGCGTACGGCTTCTACAACCCTTCAGCTACGATCTCGGGATGGACGGAGGAGTTTAAAGCTCGCACTTAGCGGCAATAGCGCGATGGGGCTCAAACGTAAAGCACCATCGGTGTCTTCTGGATACCCGTCTTATACTCCTAGCACACCACCATCGGCGTTCGTGAGCGACTTTACCTCACCAAGCACCTTGAAAAACACAAGAAATCGCTCGCGTGTGTCAGTCGGGTGTAACGGGTGGTTCATGAATGACGACGACCCGGCCATCGTGGGCTGGTACCGACATCGTAGTAGCGACGAAGGCAACCCCATCACACAGCGTGCGGGGTTGGCTCAGGCTTCTCGAGATAGCGATGCAGAATTTGCCAGGGACTTGCCGAAAAGGTACAAGACAAACACTTACGTATTACACCTGCAGAACCGTTTTTGTAAAGATCCGCATCGTCCTCTAAAGGCGATCAAGACGACTTTTCCAACGGCGGAATCGCATTGGTACCTTTACCATTGGTAATACAGTGTACCAATGCATCGACCACTTCTTCTCCCTCTGATCGGCTTCAAAGTCTTTTGACTCTGCCTACTCAGTGTGTGACTCGGATCCGAAGAGAAGGCAAACACAGATCTCGAGTATGCGACGTTGATAAAGTTGGCAAGTAACGCAAAGCTCGATTCAGCGTGTCGGCCTCGATATAGAACGCATACGTTCACTTGGCACTTGCTCGGCGACATGTACGGCCACCAACAATGCCAGAAAAGCTTCAACGGAAGAGCTTTAACGGTCACCAGCGCGGAACACGCAAGATACTATGCGTCGCAGCGTGCGGTGGCTACAAAACACTGAGTCTTAGCAAGTTAAAGTTGGCGGGATTAAAAATAATTAATCGCGCTCTGAAAGTATCCGGTTGCAATCGACCTTGACGCAAAGGCTGCACTCTCCCTAATTTGGGAGATGCACAGAAACCGTATACATGTATCGCGAAGTCAGACTTGCATGTGAGTCGGGGTGAGGATACAGTAGTCACATGGGATCTCTATGTCGAAAACGGCTGAGCTTGAAAAGTAGTTCTGTACCCGATTGGCTCTTCGCTCTAATATCGTCGACCTGTTCAAGCTATCCGTATTGGATACTTACCACACGGCAATGGGAGCCCGTTGAACTCTTTCCGCCGATGTGTGCTGCAGGCTGCAGCTGCTGAAATTACCCCGCAGAGATGCGGAGCAATGGCGATGTGCTTTTGATGAGCTGAGAGCGGACACTAAAAATAACGTTCCAATTGAATGATGCTGTACATTTCACTTGACAGCTCTAACTGCAGCTTCATGCAGTACATTGTATCTTGGCCGGCGCAACCCTGAACACTGTACAGTACAGTGTACAGTACGCCATACATGACATGTATTACGAGCGCATTTACGCGTAAATACGCGTCAGTTCAAGCACCTCTATCAGCAGATCCAGATCCAGGACCTGGAGCCAGGTGTGCACCTGAGGTGAAACCTTCACTGAAATGGCCAAACCGACTCCTCACTGATTTGCAACACGGCCACCGCATGGTGATTTTGTCAGAGCTCCCACCGTGGTAAGCCCAATTACCGGAGCAGGTCACGTTCGGAGGTTAGCATCACTCGCGCTGTGACCTCCTTAGGGCTCATTTTACAATTGATCTCCTGGCGCTCAAGTCTCAATCTTCCAAGCCCCTCAACCATGGCCAAAAAGCCGTTCTTCACCGCCGAGGACGCCAAGACGTCCTTCAACCTCTTCTGCTGCATCTACGGCATTGGAACGCTTGGTATGCCTGGCAACTTCGCCCGCGCTGGACCAACCATCGCTGTTGTAGCCATGGCCTTCATGGCCTTCGCCAACATCTACTCGTCCGTCGCCATGTCCAAGGTCATTCTGCTCGCCCCCACGTCTGTCAAGACTTTCGGTGACCTCGGAGAATGGGCAATGGGTCAGTGGGGTCGTTGGCTCTGCATCATCTCCCAAATGGGTTCGTGCCTTTTGATCCCGTGCGTGTTCCTCGTGCTCGGGGGCTCACTGCTCGACGGTCTCTTCCCGGACGCCTTTGAGCAATCTACTTGGACCATTCTAATGGCACTGACGGTACTTCCAGTGTGTCTCGTCCCGACGCTGAAAGAGGGATCGGGTGCTGCGTTCGCAGGCTGCTTGGGCACTATCATCGCTGATGTCATCGGTGTCGGCGTCGTCATGCACGGCATGCGCGGCCACCCGAGTGTTCCGTTCCCGGAGCTCAAGTTCTCGCAAGTAGCAGGTGTCTTTGGCAACCTGTCTCTTGCCTACGGTGCCGGTATCGTCA